GCCTCACATGCAAAAGGAAAGCACACAGGCAATGGAAAGATGGGCAGGTCACCAAGGAAGCATACCAAGAAAGTGCAAGGACAAAGTGAGGAAGGCGATGTTAAAAATGAGTTGCACCTGGCAAGAGAAGTTAAAGACAACAAGAAGAGGTTATATAAATATGGTGGCCAGAAAATTAAGTTGAAGAAAGCTGTGGGTCCATTATTAAATAGCCAGGCAAACTCCTAACAGAAGATACAAAGAAGGCAGAGCTACTCAACAGCTACTTTTGCCTGTTCACAAAGAAGTTAAGCTGCAAACGGACATGTAATAAGGATTATTTGGATGAAGAAAGGGACAAGCTGAGGGATGAGATAACAAAACAAACAGTCAGAGAGCTTTTGACGGTTCTGAATTTATTCAGCTCAGCAGGATCCGATGACCTTCATCCCATGGGACTGAAGGAGTTGGCAGGGTAAATTTCCAAGACCTTGGCAATAATATTTACCAAGTTGTGAGAGATGGGCAAAATACCAAATGACTAGAACAGAGCCAACATAGTTGTCCTCTTTAAAAAAAGCAAAAAGGAGGCCCAGGCAACTATAGACCAGTTAAGTATATCTCAATCTCCACGAAGTTACTGGAGGATATTATAAGGAAATCTATTTGAAAGGATCTGGATAAGAAAAGGCTGATCAGAAGCAGTCAGCATTGATTTACTAAGAACTAAGCATGCCAAACAAATTTTGTGGATATAGTTTATCTGGACTTCAGCAAAGCTTTTCACAAAGTCCCACATGACCTCATAAACAAATTGGAGAAATGTGGGCTAGACAAAACTACTACAAGGTGGATAGACAACTGGCTGGATAGCCACAAGCAAAAGGTAATTACAAATGGATCCATGTCAGAATGGCAGGAGGTTTCAAGTGGAGACCCAAAGGAGTTTGTCCTGGGCCTAGTGCTGTTCAATAGGGGTATGCGAAATGGGCCCTACTGGAGTCGGATTTGTCCCGAATCGGGGACAGTGATTCGATTAATTGATTCAGGTCACTATCCCCAATTCGATTTGGCCAAATCCGAATCTGAAGATTCAATGCTGATTCAGAGAATCGGCAATTTGGACACAGACGCAGCTTTAAATGCTTTTTCTACATACCTCGAGGTACCAGCATGGCTCATGAATGCTGCAATGCTGGGGTGGATGGAGCATGCCACAGAAGTTTGAGAGGGTCCCCCACATTCTCAGCAGTAAAACCTGGAAGTGGACCAGAACTACCTCTTGTCCACTTTCGGCTCTGCCAGGGAGCGTGCGGGCCCCCACCCCGCACTCCCTCAGTTCAGTGATCAGTCACAGGGGGACCCCGGGTGCCCTCCCAGATCCAGGAGGCACCGGTTACCAAGGTGGGGGAGCACGGCCCCCCCCGTGTGCTCCCCCACAGACCTGGAAGTGGACCGGAAGTGCTTCTGATCCACTTCCGGGTCTACTGCCAAGCACGCTGGGGTCCACCCTGCGCTCTTGTGGGATGCTCCATCCGCCCAATCATCACAGCATTCATGAGCCACCTGGTACCTTGAGGTATGTAGAAAAAACATTTAAAGCTGTGTCCATGTCCGAATCGCTGAATCTTTTTTAATCTCTCCGAATCAATTTGGAGGGTTCTGATTCAATTCAGAGAGATTAAAGTGTCCCCTGATTCAATTCAGATTTGGAGATTCAGCCACTGAATCGGGCTGAATCTCCACTGAATCGAATCAGGGACCGAAGCTTCACATAGCCTTGCTGTTCAATGTGTTTATTAATTATTTGGATCCTAGAATAGAGAGCTTCTGGAGCAAATTTGTGGACATCATGAAACTGGGAAGGACTATGAGCATATTGAAAGATAGGAGTATGGTTCAGAAGGCTCTTCACATATTGGAAAGCTGGGCTGGAGCTAACAACATGAAGTTTAATGCTGACAAATACAAGGTGCTAAACCTTGGGTGCGTCTATATGATACACTTTACTGCACAGCACATTAATTTGTTGAGCAGTAAAGCATCACTGTCTACACATGTGCAGCAATTAGGGTGCAGCAGACTAATATGCCAAGCTGCTGGATAATTCCCTCAGATACAAGTGGTATCTAGCAGCAGACTAAATTATTGAACTTAAACGCACATGTAGATGGTGATGTCAGGATTAGTTTACTCCGGCTCAAATTGAGCTGCAGTATATTCAGTCATTAATTGCACATGTAGACCTCCCCCTTGGAAATAGTTAAAAACAAATATAAATTGAGTAACATCTGGCTGTATGGCAACATTACAGAAAAGGAACTAAGAGTTCTGGTAGCATCAGTTTCAACATGAGTCTGTAGTGTGATAGAGCTGCACAAAAGATGAAGATTTTGGGCTACATCATTAGGAGCATTAGGTGCCCTCAGCTTCCAGGCTGCTAACATCTGACATTCAAGAAAGGACCACAGGGTGAAGTTTGCGTGCTGGCCAGATGTACCTTCCCTCTGTGACAGCCATTGAACTGGTAGATACAGCACTGGGAGGAAGGGGGGGCGATATTTTGTTTGCCTTACTTGCATTATTCTTACCGGCTATCACTATGTATCAATAAAATTTATTACTGAATGGAAGAAGTTTTGGTTGGTCTGAGGGTTTGGGTCCAGCCGGAACAAGGTATGTAGATCATAAATCCAGTGCCAGCAGAGGCAATCGGATCTCTTTATTCAGCACTGGTCAGATCTCATCTAGAGTACAGTGTGCGGTTTTAGGTTCCGCATGTTCAGCTTGCAGAAAATGCACTTAAGAGGAGACATGAATGCAATCCAAATATCTGAATAGCTGCCATAAAGAAGAGGGAAAACATTTTTTTCTCTCTCGTTGCAGAGTAGGACACAGAACAATGGCTTGAAGCTCCAGCAAAGCAAGTTTAGATCTAAGGAAAAACTTCTTCACTATTAGAATGGTAAGGCAGTAAAGTAGACTACCCAGGGAAACTGTGGAATCTACGTCACTGGGGGTGTTCAAGAATAGGTTGGATAAGCATTAGTCAGGGATGATCTAGGACTAGTTATGTCTTTGATCTACTGGGTATTTCCCATGCTTCTAGGCTTTGCTGGTTGCTATATGGAGCCAGGAAAGATTTTTTCCCCACTCTTGTTACTACATGTCAGGGTTTTTTTGTTTGTTTATTTTTTGCCTTCCTCAGAAGCACTGGCTTTTGGTTGTAGCCAAGACTGGAGATTTTTACTTGGGTGTGCCGTTGCTCCTGCCAGGAATGGACCTGGATGTCCCCAACTATAGGGTCTTGCCCCTCCACTCAGGTTTTAAGTCAGGAAAGAATTTTACATCGTGATCAGACAGGTATATGGAGGTTTTGCTTTCCTTTGTATCTGTTCCTTGGATTTCTTGAGTGTATTTTAAAAACCATCACAGAAGCAGGTCACTGACCACCACTGCCCCGCTACTTTACCTGTGGCAGGTTAGGGTGTTATGCCTTGTGGTTGTGTCAGGATTAACTGCTTGGTCATAAAGAATCATCTTTCTAGACCTCAGGGTTGGAAATGGAACCTGAGAAATGTGAACTTTAAGTAAACAAATTTACTGACTGGATTTATCTACACTGGATTTTTTTTTTTTAAGAAAAAAAAAGTTAAAGGACTATGAATAATAGTCCAGGATATTCAAATATTCAGGAAGCATCTACAGGCATGCTTACAAATGTGAGCTATTGATAATGTGGTATTAATACTCAAGTAACTTCAGGCAAAGAATGACAAACAGCCTGGAAGAATAGTTTTGAGAGGTGATCTGCCATGGGGTATTAAACCTTCAACCTAAAAAATGATGACAATTTAAACCTTGATATTAAATATTTCACTGATAGTAACAGATTGACATAAGCAATCTAAATTTATCTCCCCATGCCTACCCCTGATTCTGCACATACCCAGCTGCCAAAACTACCAGCTTCTCTGTTTACCACCTATGATACAGATGGTACTAGCTACCACTGTGTCTACTTGGAACTTCTCTCAGGCATTCAAACAGAAGAAAATGAGCTAGCATAAATGAAAATTCTCTTGTGCGTGCCAATTTACAAGAGTAAGTTGACACAAGCTTTGGCAACAATCATCTGACAAGAAATTCTAAGTCAGCTTAAAAAGAACTGACAACTGAACTAGGATATTGCCAAAGTTCAAGTCTGCACAAGGCCATTATATGCAAGAAGGATTTCTGGCTCTCCAAAAACTATTCAAATTTGCAAATATCACAACTCTATAAAATATGCTGCATACGAAAAAATATTAGGAAAAAATTGGAGGAGAGTTAGCAGTACAAAGAGGATCAATGGACAATTAAATAGGATCCAGTACAAGAGATTGTGTCAGTTGGCAGTATTTACGAAACTGAGATCCATTGCCATCATCCATAACTTCTATGAGTCATTCAGTTCTCTACTCTGTTACCTTGGTTATGAAGCTGTAATTCATTAGTTAAATCAATATTCAGCTGGTGTAATACAGTAAAGTCAGACATGCTGAATTTTTCCAGCAAACAGGCCTACTAATCCAGGTCCTTTCTACTTGATGTATTTATGTATCCCACGTGACATTCAGGTTCAGCATAATCTAATTTCATTATTAAAAAAAGTTTTTAGCCCTTTAAAATTGCTGAATTCAAAGTGTTAGAAAATTCCAAGTATAATAAATGCAATGCTGCATTCATTAGTCTATAAGTTGCCAGAATGATGGCACTATGAAATGTAAAGTCCCTTATTATCCCATTCATTCTCCCATTAGTAAAAGTGAGCCTCCTATTATTAACTGATGATCATTTACAATAAAAATATATATATTCTGTCCCACAGAATTTAATTAGAAATAGAATTCAGCCCTTTCTACAGCATGAGTATGACATCCTTGTTTTAGAGGCAAATTAGCTTAGCTCACAAAGAAGGTATATGTACCAAAATAAAAAAGTTTAACTCTTATTTAAAACACTAACCACATGATACCTACTGCCACAACAGGCTTCAGACTATGGTCACTGTGATGTGAAGCACTTGGATGGAAATCAGTAAGTGGACCAAATGCAGAATCACTGCTCCTCCTCACTAGCAGTGGTGTGCCTAAAGGACAAAAAAAAAGATCAAGGGTCAAAATAGATGAAGGGGAAATTAATACACAACATTGCATGTATAATTAAAAAGACTTCCAGCTTTTACATGCACGTGGTTTTTTTTCTTTTTTACTACTGTCCATAAATTATTAGATCTGATAGCATTCTGTCATTCATTACCCACTGACACAAAAATGAGAAGACTAAAGACACAACTGTACAATCCTCTGCTATGGCAACAGTAATTTGTCTAGATGTGGGCTGAAATCAAAAGCTGCTGTCAAACAGGGGAAAGGGGCACATTCTCTCAGAAAAAGTAAAATAGCTTCTTGAAATCGCAAGCATCCATGGCCATATGCATGATCATAATAATATCAAAATCATATGCTCATTTTAAGAAAGTGTCACATAACCATAATTATAGAAAATTAGGGTTGGAAGGGACCTCAGGAGGTCATCTAGTCTAACCCTGTGCTCAAGGCAGGACCATCCCAAACTAGATCATCCCAGCCAAAGCTTTGTCTAGCTGGGTCTTAAATACCTCCAAGGATGGAGATCCACCACCTCTCTGAGTAACCTGTTCCAGTGTTTTACTACCCTCCTAGTGAGAAAATTCTTTCTAATATTTAACTTAAAACTTCCCTTGCTGCAACTTAAGAACATTGCTCCTTCTTCTGTCATCTGCCACCACTGAGAACAGTCTAGTTTCAACCTCTTTCAAACTCCCCTTTAGGTAGTTGAAGGCTGCTATTAAATCCTCTCTCAGTCTTCTCTTCTCTAGACTACATAAGCCCAGTTCTTTCAGTTTTTCCTAAGTCATGTCCCCCAGTCTCCTGATCATTTGTGTTGCCTTCTGCTGTACCCTCTCCAATTTTATCCACATCCTTTCTATAGTAGGGGGTCCAAAAGTGAACACAGTACTCCAGATGTGGCCTCACCAGTGCTGAATAGAGGGGAATAATCATTTTCCTTGACCTGCTGGCAAGACTCCTACTGATGCAGCCCAGTATGCCATTAGCCTCCTTTACAACAAGGGCACACTGCTGGCTCATATTCAGCTTATTGTCCACTGTAACCCCTGCGGCAGAATGCCATCTCTGTTTCTCCCCAAGCTCTGCTATCAAGCTAATTACCTATTTGACAATTTGGTTACCATGGTCACTGCAAAGGGCAGATACCCCTGGCCCCATTGGCTTCAGGCAACCCTTAGTTGTAGCCTGAGCTGGATACATTCCTGAGGTAGGGGGAAACCTGCTCCTTCTGTCTACATGACTGGCCTCACATACCTGGGTCGGGCGTGGAGGGGGGGGGGGGGTGTTAAACTCCCTATTGTTCTAAGCAATGTCATCAAGACTGGGAGGGGGCTGGAGACCCTGCCAGTCTACCTGGCAACCAGTGATGCATTTCAAATTGGATGGCTGGCAGCCAACAACTGCTGGCCTTCACTGGATCAGGTAAGTGAGGTCATAAGGTAAAGACTGCCCAGAAGGAGGGGCTGCAGCCATGATGAAGACTCTCAGAGAAGTGGGACCATCTGAAACTCTCTCTCTCTCGAAACTCATGTTCAATGAACTGCCTGCCTCCAGAGGGAATCTCCACCTGCCTCTGGATGATACCTGTGAATAAGCTACTTGGGATCTAACTAGATATAATGCTTGCAGTAACTCAGATGCATGATCAAAGGCTACCATGCCACTGTTTGCTCTAAGGTATTTCTCTAATATTGCTCTACCTTGTACCCTATTCCAAACCTCCTCCTTGTAACCAATAAAGTTCTCCTTTGTACCTTGCGTGGGAGACTTATTGGGAGAGGGTCTAGAATTTATGCCTTGGGGTCCCCTTGGTTTGGCTGACTAAGGGTGCTTCAGACTGAGGGAAGCATCCCAAGTTCTTGCAGTAAGTCAAGTACCCCTCAAGGACTACTAGGCCTGTGTTTCGCAGGGGGCACAGAGCCAAAATCAGTCCAGACCCTGGGTGGTGGCAGTGTTACCCCCAGGCTTGCAGGTATGCTCCAGGAAGGGGGTTGGCCAGATGCAAGGCATCCCCAGGGAGCCACTCGGAGCCTGGAAGGTGGCTGGGTGCAGTGAGGTGGGTGGCTCAGAGCAGGAGCATCCGCTACTGGCCCACCACAACTCCCAGGTCCTTTTCTGCACCACTGCTGCCCAGCCAGTCAGCCCCCAGTCTGTATTGATATATGGGATTATTCCATCCTAAATGCAGGACTTTGCAATTGTCTTTATTTAATCTCAGATAAGATACAGTTCAATAAGCACAAGATACAGAGATTGTGCTTGTTTTGTTAGCTGCTAGTATTTAACAGTAGTGAGTTGTTCAGGCTGACATTTATAGTATCAGCTTTTATTTTGTTGTTCAACACTAGCCTGGCAGAAAAGGATCCCAGCATCTCATTTTAGAAGTTCCATTTTTTCCTTGAAGATATCTGAGAGAATGTTGGATGCTTATTCATATTTCTCTCAAAACTCTTAAGTAATAAAAGAATGTAATGATACAAAGAACCACTTGGGTTGTAATGCCACCAGTGTACAGATGACATACGCTGTCTTTTTATAAGGCTTCCATGATGCATCTCTTGAAACTGTTTTCCCAGTGTTTGACTGAGGCAGTAAGCTGACTATGATCAACAAAGATGATCAGAGATGAGGGTGTTTTGTAGATGCAAACATCCAGAAGTTGTGTCAGAAGCTTCAGCATCTGCCATGCATTATTAAGAACTGCATTCTTTGTCACAAACATACCCTTGCACTCTGATTCACCATGGATTCAAAAGATAACACCTGTGTCCATAAGCAGTTGTTTTATATATGCATTTGACTAAACAGCTTCAGCAAATTCTCATTAAGTAGGATCTCACTGGCATTGTCCAACTGTTCAGGCCAATATGCTCTACAATGAGCCACCCTCAAAGACAATTCAGAACCAGAATGAAGTTGCCCAGCTGCAAGGATGTGCTAGTTCTATGAAAAAGAATATAATACAACTCTAAAAATAAAGGTGTTGCGTTTTTTTTAAATTAAAGTATTTCTCATATTAATTAAAACAGTGAGAGGGATTTTTCTTCAAGTCATGTTCAAGATAAAAATACTTTATCTTTGGACTGAGACCAAACATATAAAAGGATTATTTTTCAGAAGTTGCAACTGAGTGAAAACAGGGTTATAACCGAAAGCTTTACAATATTAATTATAGTGGTTGCTATTGGTGGCAGCTATAATTACCAGTTCTATAGCAGAAGTTGAGTAATTTTCAACAGAAGTTCTGAAGTTAGAGACACTAATAGAATACAAGAATTACTGAGCCAAATTCATTTCCAGTGCAATATCGCTGGCTTCACTAGAGTTACACCAGGAATGAATTTGGCTACTGCACAATATCAAACTGGAGTAACAAAGAGCCTAATCCTGTCTGCCTTACTCACTTTAGTAGGAACTTACTAACACAAGTAATCTATTACGAATTTAAGGGACAAAGTACTATTCAATATGAATACGAAAGACATAATTAGGACCCATATCTATGTTGGAGAGAAAATGATTTCAAAGTCCTTTGTTTGCATGAACAATGAAACAGTAAAAAGTGAATAAGTTTTACCGGCTTAAATGATATTGGTCACGATACAAAGAACTTTTTTATATTTTTAAAAGTGTATTTGGAAACAGCCGAGTGATTTCTATATTTATCAACCTAGTATAATTTTCAAAAAGCATAAAAGCATAGATAGTAGATTAAAGTCACTCTGGAATGGTAAATGTATCTAACACCCTAGCACATTTGTCCTTTGACTTTAACATTTTTCTTGTCTCAAGTTTGTTTTTGTTTCAACATAGTACTTGAGACTGTATGTTTCCCTCTCTTTCTATATTAACTTTGATAAGAACATATTGGACCAGCTTCAGTTTGGGTTTCAATCTACTAACAGCACAAAACCTGCTTTATTAGAGGAAGTTATTAAAATGCTGCTTCTGACAATTACTATTTCTCACTCATCCAATTTTTCTCCAAATATAACAATTAAAATTGGTCATTTCAATCCTTTTAGATGGACATCACAGATAGACAAACGTCTGTTTCTTTCCTGAAATGCTACCACTTTTACCAATCTTTCTTAGTTATTCCATTTAAATTCCCAGATGCCTTTTCTATGAAGCAACATTCAAACGACTGCCTTCTTTTTCATGGGTACACACTTGCTTTTTTGGCCAGTGTGTCTTTATTTTTTTAATTTACACTATTAGTTCAACTCAAACTGTATTGAATGCATCATTTTTTTACAGTACCAGCAACTCTAATCATACACTTGCTCTGCCTACCTTCAGAAATTTAAAATCCAAATTCATCACAGCTTTCTTCTTCTAAATACCTAAAAATATAGATGTTCTGATGAACATGAGGAACATCCTTAAAATGATGTTCTTAACTCTTTGATTCTTGATTTAATTGCATTGTTACCTTGGCCTTTTCCTTGATCTTGATCTACTTTCAATCCCTTGGTCTCCCATATCTTAACTTCCTCTCATATCTGTGACAGGAGCAAGCTTTCATGCCAGGTGCAAGCACTGACCTGCCTCCTGTCTATGGGCTAGCCACCCACCTCACTCACCTGCCATACCTTGATGTAATAGTATTGAGGATGTTAATCAGGTGGGAAGCTGCCCATTTTGAACCCTGATGTTCAGGAAGATCTTCACAGCTCCTTTCCACCCATACACTACGGCCCAAGCCTTGCAGATGGCATCTCAGGCAGCTAGACTCAGCCAGATCCTTCATCCATTAGCTGTGGTCCACTCTCTGGGACCTTCAGCTCCCCCTTTGGCCCTGGCCCTGTCTCAGGCCACTTGGGACCCCAAGCCTCTTTTGCAGTTTTGCAAAGAGCTCTACACAGGCTGTCAGAGTTCCAGCCTTCAAGGGGCTGTGTGAAATAAGAGGAGGGTGGTCAGGCAGGGGGCACCATGTCCATGTACATGCACATGACTGCCAGGCAGCCTGGAGAGC